GTAGCGAGGGAGGGAGGGAGGAAGAGAGGAAGAAAGGAGGGAGGGAGGAAGATGGGCCAGGCTGTGGCCATCTCCTTCCTCAAGCCCTTTCCTGAAAAGAGCAGAATAGGCAGTGGCTGGGGCCTGAGCCCTGGTTGTTGGTTCTGAGGCCTCCTCGCCTGCTCCACCCTGCCCTGAAAGGCCTGGGAGGAAGGGAATGCCAAGGAGACCCACTCTCTCCTGCCTTGGGGGATGGGAGCTGTGATGGACTCCAGGCCCTCCTTAGCCAATACACGCCCTCCTCCTCCTCTGATTTCAAAGGTAGAGGTGACAGCCCTGGCCTCCTGTCCTGTGATGATCTAATAAAACAGCAATCACCTCTCAAAAAAAAAAAAAAAAAATGAGGTATACCCAAGTGAAATTACTTGGAAATATTATTCAAGTCTAGTAAGTAAAAAAATGTTTAGTCATGGTAAAATAATCCTACATGTGTAGAATAAAAAGGTCACTTATTTGTGCATAAATCTGTTTATGCAGAAGAGGAAGAAATGTACTGTAAATTGACATTTTCAAGGTTAGAAAAAAAGGATTTTCACCTTCACTCTGTGAACATCTATATTTTAAAATCGTCTACCATGAGAATGTATCCCTATCCTATTTATTTAATTAGTAAATACAATATCATGAGTCACTAAAAACAACCAGCAGTGGGGCAAGTATTAAGCCTTATAGTTAAGATGCCCATATCCATATCTGAATGGCTAGGTTCAATGTCCAGGCCCAGCTTCTAGGTCCTGACTCCAGCTTCCTGCTAGTGTGGACCTCAAGAGGTGGTGGTGATGGTCCAAGGAAGTGGGTTCCTGCCATTACGTGGGAGGCCTGGATTGCATCTCTGGCTTTAAGCTTCATTTAGCACATTTGGAGAGGAAATCAGCAGATGAGAGGTAGTTGCCCGTATCCTCTGGTACTCACATACATAAAAAAGTGTTTTTAAAACACAAAAATAATGGGTAATACTGTCCCTTCTTCCATTAAAGAAGTGAAAATAAGGGAAAAAATTTAGGGTCAGGTGTTTTGTGCAGCAGTTAGCATGCCACTGGACATGCCTGCACCCCCTATCAGATTTTCTAGTTAGAGTCCCTGAGGCTCCTTGGCTTCCCATCCAACTTCCTGCTAATGCAGCAGATGAGGGCTTGAGGCCCTGGCATCCACAGGAGAGTCCCAGATAGCACTAGGCTCCTGCCTTTGGACTGGCCAACCCCTGGTTGTTGCAGGCATTTGGGAGTAAGCCAGAAGATATATCTCTCTCTCTTCCCCTCCCTCTCCACAGCCAATTCCTTCTGCCTTTCAAAGGTAAGATTTTAGACGTTTTAATCTCTCACCAAGGACAGTCTTTCCCAAGAGACTTTTCATTTTAACAGTTCTTAAAAGTTGGCTCTGATTTTCAAAATGAGATAGGTGCCATATATTGAAATAGATGTCTTCAAATAGGCTTTAAGATAATAATCATTGGTTCTCACTAACTGTTTCAAGTGGCACCCTCTGGAATAGAGGAAATCCTTCACTGATATAAGTGTTTAGATCACAAACAAATTACATGTCTAATTTATGCAAAATATCACTTTAAAAGATGAACAATTTTTATCTATGTCAATAAAATGCTACTTCTCATGAGAATAACGTACCATGTTATAAATAACCCTCAGAATAAATTCTGTTGTGAACACGTAGACAGCAGCTATCATAAAATACTTCTTCCTAACCATGGTCAGTTTTCAGTATTTGTTTATTTGAAAGTTAAGGGAAAAGAAAGGGACAGTTATCTTCTGTCTACTGGTTAACTACCCAAACGGCGGCAACAGCCACCAAGTCAGGAACCAGAAACATGGTTGGCAGGTGCCTAGGCAGTACCCATCTTCGCTGCCTTCCAGGCACATTAGCAGGAAACTGGATGGAGAGGTAAAGCAGTCAGAACTCAAACTAGCATTCCCCATATGGGAATGGGGGGTAACACTATGCCATAACACCAGTTCTTAGGGTCAGTTTTAAATTAAAGAATTAAATTTAAGATTGCAGCAATGGGGCCGGTGCCGTGGCTCACTTGGTTAGTCCTCTGCCTGCGGCACCGGCACCCCATATGGGCGCTGGGTTCTATTCCCAGTTGCTGTCCCAGGAAGGCAGTGGAGGATGGCCCAAGTGCTTGGGCCCCTGCACCTGCATGGGAGACCAAGAAGAAGAACCTGGCTCTTGGCTTCAGATCGGCGCAGCGCCGGCCACAGCAGCCATTTGGGGAGTGAACCAACGGAAGGAAGACCTTTCTCTCTGTCTCTCTCTCTCATATCTATAATTCTACCTGTCAAATAAAAAAATAAAAATTAAAAATAATTTAAAAATAATTTTAAAAAGATTACAGCAAAGGGGGCCAGCGCAGTGGCACAGCGGGTAAAGCTACCACCTGCAGTGCCGGCATTACCTATGGGCGCCAGTTGATGTCCCGGCTGCTCCACTTCCGATCCAGCTTTTTGCTGTGGCCTGAGAGAGCAGCAGAAGACGCCCCAAGTCCTTGGGCCCCTGCACCCGTGTGGGA